CATGGCTCCTACATTATGTACATAAGTTCAGTCGATTCACCATTACGAGCAAAATATCACACAGACACATGCCAATAAATAACGAACTGTTATATGTACATAAACCATATTTTGTACTTTTATCAACAGTTTAAGAACCAACAGTACCTATGCGAACTGGTTTATTAGGTAAAATGTAAGCACGCTATTGATTCAGTGTCTGTAAACAAAAGTAAAGGCATACATCATATTTCAGTATGCTAACCCAACATCTTTAAATACGTTACAAGATACAAACTCGTCTTCTGTAAAGAAGTCAGACAAAACTAACATAGTATTTACACTGTTTCATACAAGGCCTAATCTTGGAAAGGTTTGAATATCAGACTCTGAAACTAGTCTATAAATTCAAGTAGTTTGTAATCCTAGTGACATAGAAACTTGTCCAGATTATGAAATCATCGTGTATATTTAACAAGTTTATGATACTACTGAGAGAGAGAGAGAGAGAGTTATTCGAATTATGAAAGATGTGTGTCAGTCTTAAAAGTATAGTTATCTTACTACAGTGTTTTAGAGCTAATAAATAGATTGAATTACCTTGAAACAACGGGAGACTACAAGATACATAATATTTTTATTATCGGTTCCCACTTTTATTTGTTGTTTACAGCTACTAAACGATTGCGTGTACAATTTCCCGGGTTTCAGGTCAGTACAATAGCTTCAGATAACAGAAGGAACTTTGTAAAATGTTACGAATAATTAAGTTGAATGACTGACTGTAATTGAATGGAAAAAAGAGGAAAACAAATTACAAATAATGTTTTATGAATGTCATAAATAATCGAAACAGACAAGGTACACTAGATAAAAGAAAGTTCTTAAAACCAAGTTGGTTGGTTTGTTACATTTTATCGATTTAATCAGCTTTGGAGAGAGTTGTTGATCCAGAGGATCTGAACACACACAAAAATGACTATATTTGAAAACTTCTCTCTTAAAACGCTCACGCTATCTACGGCACGTGATTCCATCAACACAAATTTGGGAGAGTGTAACCTCCAGGTATCAACGAAATTTCACCACGAAATGAAGTTTATATAGAAACCACACTGTGTATTTAACCATAGAGTTTTCAAGCAACCTCACTCACGAGAGAACTTTAGCTTACGCTAAAGCGAATGGTTTATTAACCAAAAGGAGAAAAAAAACCTACATACCATGAACAAAATTCTCAAACATTATAACTTCTCCTAATCCAGGACCTTAGCATCCTAAAAAGTTAGCATATGAGCTTACCTGTTTTATGTTCAGTTCGTTTCCTTCTTCGTCTTTTGGACGAAAGAGCAAGGACCAAATATCATTTTATAAGTCAGCATTTAAAACTGTCATTAAACCTAATTCTTTAAGATTTATAACTAACTTTATGGTTATCTTACAACCTTTGATTTAGCTAACATAATAAATTATACCCACCATCTGATCAGCAGAGGCTAAGTTTAGCCCTGATTTAATATGCTGGAATCTGGATTTGTGAATCCAACGTTCGCGTTCTGTTATCAACAAAAAAAAAAAATACTCGTTTCTCTCTTTGATCCATGAGTGAATTATAAGGATGACAGTCAAATCCCAGTATTCTGTCTGCCAAGAGAAGCCCAAAATGATGTTAACTACCTGCCTTCCCTCTAGTCTATTCTGTAAGTACAAAATTAAGGACGGCTTGCACAGATAGATCTTTAATAACATTGCGCGAATATAGAAAACAAATAAACTTATCAGCAGCTCTAAATTAGAGGTGGGTATGCCCAATTTAGGTGTTAATCCGTGTGTTGCATCAGGGCCTTTCATGTTGAAAAT